TGGCTTCCAAAGATCTGTTTCTGTCTCTTAATGTGTATGCTATAATGAGAAAGAAATATATGCTGCCCTGCTTACCTTACAGGTGGTCTAGGTGTCTGGTATGTCCTTACGTCCCCCTTATGACACACAGATTGACAAAGAACAACCACCCAACTCAGTATTGGATCTCATTGTTTTTGCCTGGGAAATGGTTCCATTTTGTTATTTTCTTGGGACTGTTCTGCTTGTTCTGCTCTGTTTCTGTAAGCTGATGTTTACCTAGGGAGAAGCTGTTGCTATTCCTAATATGTCTGTACTATGTTGAAAAACATCAGAAATCTGGGATACTGCTGTCTTCCCAGCTGCAGTGTTTTCTCCGTAATCTTCCTGTAAAATGCAGATTGATTTGCCACCTTCTCTTCACATAAAGTGCAGATCCTGTTGTGACATGCCTTCTCTTATTAATTAATGGAAAGCATCGAGGTGCTCACATGCTATTGCTTCAGTGGTGTTGGCTGTACCCAAGGAATACTGCAGCTGAGTCACCAGCATGTTCTGTGTGTCTTTTTTCAGCTGTTAGTGGCCGAAACTTGAATGACCTGAGTCGGGAAAGTGAAGATTGTGTTTCCCATGCAAATCTGGACCCAAGACAGCTAGAGGAAGAGAAGAATAAACTTTTGGCAGAGGCTGCTGCTGAGCTGCGAGAAGAAAACACTAGGCAGGAAAAAATCTTGCAGGTTGCTAAGAGATTGGCAGTACTCAGAGGCCAAGACCCAGAGAAAGGTGGGTATCAGAAGAATACAGTCGCAAGAGAGAAACTAGGTTCCTGTGTCAGAATAGTTTCTTTTCTGAGAGGCCTTTACCTATTTAATTCCTTTGTTCTGCAAGAAGCAGGCTGGGATTTTATTAAATGTGAAGTTGTAGAGGTTGGTTCATGATAAAAACAGCATTAAAGATTTTAGCTAAGACTAAGGATGGAACTGTAAGCACAGGCTTTTATCTTTCTCTCTTCTTTGAGATAATTCTAGCATACTCTGAAATGTTGTCAAAGCAAAGCTCTCTTTTAATCTTCCTTTTCCAACTTCAAAAACATATGGTAATGTGCTTCTTAAACTGTCCCCTTCTAAAGGGATATGTCTCTGCCAGAGTGCCTAAACCAGCTTGCACTACGAAGGATTGTCTCTGGAACATAAGTGACCACAAAGTATGAGGCAGATATGGGTCACAGTCTCTTGTCTCTTATTCCTGCAGTTACACTAGAAACTTACAAATTCCCTGACAGCGACGAGGAATTGGATGAGGAGGAAGCCATTCAGAGAGTGCTGAAACAGGTCAGAAGTGGCAGCTGTGGCCTTGTTTACTTTCTTTCCTTTCAGTCATTCCCAGTGTTTTTGTTACCCAGTGAGTATGCAAATGATGTGCTTCTGTTCCTGGGCAGTCTCATTCCTTCCTTCTCCTAGTGCTTTTCCAATACTAGCTCCTGTGCAGCCGTTCAGCGACAGGAGGAGCATCTGCTGATAGATGCACCATAAAGCATAGTGCATTAGCTGAGGTCTGGCCTCTTTTGTTGCACCGACTGTTCACAGTGCACATGTAGTGTTCAGAGTGCAGACAGAACAAACTCACATTCGTCCGAATAACATTACATAGATGTGTTCTCTGAATGAGTCATCTCCAGTTACTGCATGGGGGGACAAGGAGAAGGGAGGAAGGTTTGTCTAGAATGAGGCTCCCAAATGTATTCAAAACAAGTGGCTTCTTGCTTTATTGTTGTCAGCTTACAGAGGAAGCAGCCCTGGATGAAGCGAGTGGATTCAACATTCTTCCAGATCAGACCACTCAGCCAGGATTCTCACAACAGAACCTGCATAAAAAAACAAAGCAAGGGGTAAGTGAGCTGGTCAGGATCTCTTGGAATGATGTACTCTGGGGTCCAAAGAAAGTACAGCTCTGCAAGAAAGGCTTGATGTATCCTATGGTCAGTTCTGAGAAGGGAAAAAACTATCCAGCTTCTCCAGAGCAGACAAGCTGAGAATTAGTGGCATCTGCAAGACTGACAAATCCTGAGCACAGCTGCGAGTCATCTTTTACTTTTAAAAAGAATTGCTCTGTGTAATCCTCTCAGGCTGGTTTTCTGCTGAATGAGAAAGTGTCCTCTAAATCTAGAAATGTCAACCAGAATTGACCTAGCAAAGTGAGTAGTACAGAATTTTTAACTTGCCAATAAAATTAGATCAAGAAAGCCATAGTCTAGTACCAGAGCCTGAACCAGACTAAGTGGGAGGTTTGCCATTGCTTTCAGCATGTGCAGAACAGAATCTCTAGATAGTAATCAGTTGGCTGAGTTCTCTTAAAACGTCAGAGGAAGGTACTGGTAACAAGATACTCTACATTCAGAATGGATACCAGCCTATTATGGAAATGTATACACCTTCTCTAATGTATATTATGAGAATTAAGTGGACATGTGAGTCACAGACACCTGACAGGCCTGTCCCTGGTGCAATAAATTATTTAATTGTAAGCATTATTGAAAACAGCCATCTCATAGGTATGCCACCTTGCACTTTTGGGATCACAGAATTGCAAGGGTTGGAAGAGACTTGAAGCGATTGAGTCCAGCCCCCTTGCTAAAGCAGGTATAACTGATCTAAAAGCCATCTTATTGTAATTGAGTTAGGGTGTTGCCCATGCCGATGGTCAGGCAGTGTATTTCAGTGTGCATAAGGTTGTTCAGTTCTCCAAGGGCTCTGTAAAGCAGGAGACAATGGGGGCCTTATGAATAAAGCTTAACACTGTAATTCAGCATACCTTTTCAGCCCAGCTTCAGGTACAAATGAGTGCTAGTGGCCTCCTAGCAAACTATTTTCTTTGTCCCTCAGTTTTCTTGTTCTAACAGAGAGAAAATTGAAACCTCTGTTTTTCAGATCTTTGCATTGCTTTCCTTCCACAGGTAACTCCTTTCAGGAAAGCTGATTGATTATTTGTCTTTGCAGCAGGAATAGTCTGTTATTTGGCGTTGCTGTGGTGCCTGCTGGAAGATCTGGGCTTCAGTCTTTAGCACAGGACAGGCAATGTTGATTACCTTCTAAGTAATACAGATTCATGGGCAAATGCTAGTAGTGAATATCTTGGGTATATATTTAACCACCTACATACGTGCATATGGAGACTATCGCTTGGCTTTCTTGCAATGTCTGAACACCCTTGAACTATTTGACATTCAGCTGCTTTACAATGAAAGTCCTGTATAGTATCTGCTGTGGTTTGAATTGTGTCTTTGTTTTCTTTGTGAATTAGAGGCAGACTCCAACTGCTATAGCTCTTGCTGAGGCAGATGACAGCGATGAACATGAGTTACCCTGGTGCTGCATCTGCAATGAAGATGCCACTTTGCGATGCCATGGTTGCAGTGGGGACCTCTACTGCCAGCGCTGTTTTCGGTAAGTCTTCCAGCTCCTCTCATCTGAGGGACAGGCCATTTAGGTAAGCTTAGCTGCTTTTGTTTGTTCTTCTTGGGCAGAAGAACAGAAAGTAGGTGGGAAGATTTGAGGAACTTGGTTTTGAGCTGAATGGTAGTATTTAATGGAAATACTTTTCATTACCAGTAATTACCCCAGGCTTCAGGGACTAAACTGGTCCTGGACAGAAACATTCTGTCTGTACTGCTTTAGTGCATGTTTGGGTGCTTTGTTTCAACTGTTATCTGGAACAGTTGATGTGTGTGGGATAAGGGAGACCATTGTTCAGTACCTCTTATGGTTGGTGCTTTGTTGTTTTGTTTTTTTTTTAATGACACTGATGGATAATCTGGGCTGGATTCTCCCAAGAAGGGAGATCAGATAGTATAATTTCCTGAGGCTTTTCTTAGCTTGAAACAGGGAAGTCTTAAACTTACTAAAAATGTCAGGTATACAATTTCTGTGCTGGAGATATAAGCTTCTATCTTAACACTGGCTGCTTCTTAGCAAGACTATGACAGCTGCCAATACACTGTATTTCAGCCACAGCAGTTATTTTTCAGAGTCAAATGGAGCAGACGACAGTTTTAGCTGTTGTCACTGGAGTTGCTAACATGCCTGCAAATCACACACATGGTGCTGAAAATGAGTCTCTGGTTACATGAAGCTCTCAGGAAGGGGTGGAGATGAGGTCTGCTGTCATTTCCCCATTTCATCAGGCAAGGATGAACAGAACTTTTCATAAAGTGCATCACGGGTTTCTGTTACAAACAAATCTCTTGAGTAACCAGTCCACATATTTGCTGGTGTAGTCTTATCAATCAGCCCTTGGGATAGGTTTCTTCTAGAGACTGCTTTTGGGCAATGGCTAAAGGTGAGTTTCCTGCCTGTGTATTTACTTTTGACTGCAGTTGTGTTTGCTTCTCAGGGAAGGCCATGATGAGTTTGACATGAAGGACCACCACACCTCTCGGTATCGTCTTTCTTGCAAGTAGTGATCACAGTCTTCGCTGGCAGAAAAGGAGATGGACTCCTCTCATTTGGCCCACTCCCTCTTCTCCTGCTATCCAAGTGGATTTGCAGCCAAAATGGGTGATGTTTTGGATAGTAAAAGGATGTGCTGTTAGCTAAAAGGGGCTTGGAGGGCATGTGTCTTGGTCCGCGGAAACACAACCAGAGAAGTCCTGGGCTTGCCACCCATGCTTAGGATAAATGAGGATTTGATGTGAGGTGGTGGCTCTGAGTCTATAAATATAGACAGTAAGGCATCGTGAATAACAGTGAAGATGTATGCTTAAGGCAGTGTTGGCTAGTTGTTAAGTAATCTCTTGCTTTTGCTAACAGCTTACACACTGGTTCACAAGTCAGCAGAGCACTTTGCACTAAGAAATTGTCTATGTCATGGTCACGTGTGTGATGAGAACTTTCAAAATGTAATAAAACTATTTACAGCAGACTGTGGTTGAAATCTCCTTTGGAAATGCCTGATAATAGCCCTTTATAAAGTGTCACCCTCCTGTAATGGTATCTCAGTTGTACTGCCAGGTGGATCAGGGAAATATGAAGGATCATGAAATCATGAAAAACACTTCTGTAGTGTTGCTGGGCTGGTGCAGGGGTGTCGTGCTCCAGTGATGGCTACTCTGCCTTGATAAGCAGTGTTGCTTATATATTTGAAACGAAGAATACTTCTTAAAGATAATTTGTTACAGGTGCACTGTGTTGTTACCAGCAGTATCTGTGCATAAGTTGCATGTAGTCTATGGGAGCAGCATGTTAATTTGGAAGAGGTGTGTGTGTTACTATGAAAGTGAGAATTGGCTCTGTTTATTATTTGTTCCCCTGCTAGGATAAAAATGCTGTATGTGTGATGATTTCTTACGTGGCTATGAGAGAATCTCAGTTTACTATGCTTGTATACCACCCAGAAATAGTCCAGACATATGCAGCATGTGCCAGTGGCTATAGCACCAAGAATTGTTTGAAATACACGATTACACTTTTCTGAAATCAGCTCTAACATCCCATCAAGGTGAGCTCTTCCAGGACTGTAGTGTGACTTTAGACAGCTGTCTAAGGTTGACAAATTCCAGGAGTGTCCAAACAGAAAAACCTTAAGATTTGCTTTTGACAGAGAGTTTCCAATTGATCTTGCCCGTCTGGTTTGACACTGCCACTCCCAGCTGTCAGCTCTGCCCCTGTGCTGAAGGTCACTGCTCACACTGTTTGCCTGCACTTCAGCCACCTCCAGTCAGCCAGCTAGAGCACAGTAAATACCTTAAACTGCATCTAAAGATGGATTTTTGCTAACGTGCTAGACTGGATCAGGAGATTCAGTAGTAATCTGTATCAGACAACATGGTATTGTAATATTTCTGGTTGACGCAGTGAGAAATTGCTAGTGTATCTGACAGTGCTGGCTAGACTTATTGTTAGGAAGGGATGGTGGAACCCAATCCAGTGAAGCACAGTCTGTTAGAGGAAAGACATCCTTCACAAGTGCCTTAACATTAGAACAGACAGGAGGGAAAACTACTGAATTGTTCTGATGCAAGAGCTCACAATGAATCCTGTGTTACACAAGATCTTAGTAGATAGTTACTGACCTGGGGAGTTTGAAGTCTTCATTTTTAAGACTTTATTTTTCTGGCAGTTCTGGCTTCATGTCATTGTGGGAATGGTGCTTTCTTCGTTGTTATTTGACCAGGATAGTTAGTCTGACAGCAAGACAGCCCACTGAAAATTCTGCCTCAAGTTAAATCCTTTGTGTTTTGCACGTACAGAAGATGTAAACAGCCCTCTTCTCTCTAAGACTGATCCACTCCTTTGGGCTTCAGCCTTCCTAAGGTTCTTTCCAAGCAGATAATAGGCAAATTAGTTCTTGTTTTACAGCTTTTTTTTTTTCCCCCTCCTTGTTATCTATGAGCTGGTGATTTACGTGAAGCAGTTTAAATGTTTCATCCATCACAACACAACTTTGAGCTCCTTGTGCAGTTAGGTAGCATGAGTCCAGTGAGCCCTGCCCTGTGTTGATCAATAATAAAGCAACAGGTAACAGCCTGAAGCAGCTTATTTAGTTTCCTGGATTGGTTTCTGTGGGTTCATCCCAAGGAATCCAGAAATGCAACCAGCCTAATACCTGAAATAGAACTTAGTCATGGAAGACTCTTCAGTCATTCACACATACTGACTTTTTCACTGCCCAGTCACTAATGGACATTTTTGTGGCTGCTGAGCTTTCTGCATGTAATTGGCTGTTTTAGTGGCTGGCCAATCACTTTCCCCTTGTAAAGCCATACCCGCTGTAGCTCATGCCTCATGCAAAAGGATCAGGAGAGTGATCTCAATCAGCTGCCTGCAGAAGCACAATTAACAGTCTGTCATTTGGAAAGAGTACTGTGTGACCTTTTGCTGTCCAGTGCGCACTTAGCTGTGTTCCACACACTTTGACCTTGGCTTTGAAAAGGTGTTGGTAAAGCAGTAAAGGTACTGGTAAGCCATCAGTTCCTCACTGGGAGGATCGACCTCAGTGATAGCCATTCAAGAACTGAAGAAAGTTTGGGATCTACAAGAAGGAATCTGTTTGTTTACTTCTTCGTTGTATGCCATAAGGATATAAGATGATTTTCTTTTCCTCTCAAAATGTTTTGTACGTGAAATATCAAGAGTACTTTCCTCCTCAATAAGAATTCAAACTAATACTAATGAATGAATTTGAAATCAGATTAGTTCACAAAGAGAGACCTCAGATAAACTGCATTCATTTGCTATTGCTGTGGTTCATGCAGATGTGCTTTGCCTTAACTGCTGTAATAAGTGTGTCCAAATATAGCCACCTGAATATTTTTAAGGGGAATGTAACTCATAATAAATGGAAAATGATTTGAAGGTTATTTTATGCATATTTTATGCACCTTCATGAAATTTTAATTAGAAAAATACATGAAATTTTGCATGTTCTGAGTTATCTTGGTATAATCAAGAGGCAAAAGTTACCTTAAAGAAATGTTCTTACCATGCTATCTGCAAACCAAATATTGAAGCCTTATTCTAGTAGTGTGATGGTACTGAGAAACAGCAGAGTTGACTGGAAGCTGTTTGTAAACAAAATGTACTTCAGTCTGTCCTTAAATGCTCAGTGGAGAGCAGCCACAAAGTAAATAAAATCAAGCTTGACTTCTTCCTTTCAAGAACTAATCTAAAAGTTGTTCTGCCTTGTGTTGTTTTCTTTTGCGCCAGAGATGAGAAATCAGCTAACAGTGGCCACATCATCTTGCTTTGTACTGTTATATCTTTGTGCTTGCCTGAAGTGCACTCTTGTACTGTAGTAATGTTTTGATATAGTGGAAAAACTGCATATCACAGGGGCTACAGCTTACTCATTTTTCTACTGTTGGAAGAGAACACACAAAGACAACTTCTCTCAAGCAGAGTTCCAAAAGCTTTTTTTTTCCCCTGGGTTCTCCACCTTTAAAGTACAGCAAAAAAAAATTTTTTTCATCACTCCAAATTGAGTGGGTACAGAATTAACTCCCTGCTTGGAGAAAAATCTCTAATGTTGGAGAAATGGCCCTACAGGTCTTTGTGCTGTCACAGCTCAGAAGAATAAAAGCTGCTTTATGGAATATGTAATTAATCTGGACACCTGTGTACTTACACTGCAGCAAGTAGCAGCTATAGCATAGGACACAGCTCAGGGGCCTGTCCACCAGGGTCTTCCAGCTGAACTTCTGTTTGAATCTAGTCTGTGATGTTAATGGTGCTCAGAGCTCTTTGGCACTATGCTGCTTTCCTTTCTTGAGAGCTGTGATTCATCAGTGTCAGCAGGTGTGAATCTACGAGCAGTGCCAGACTTACAGCAGGTGCAAACCTGGACTGTATATTTTTGTTGTTTTTCTTACAAATTGGAGACTTCAGGAGGGCAAACATGTCCTGTTGGCCTCATATCAAGCCAAAGAAGGCGCTTGCCCCTGGGTACCTGGTGGTACATAGAAGTCCTTCCAGATGCAACTCACCAACTCATCTCTTGTGTGTGGATGGCAGGCATGAGAGCATAGGGACATAATGTGAGAGACTGCTCTGCTTAAGTAGTCATCCTTCATTTGATGTCTTAGTTCCCTGCAACACGTGTCAAGTTACCCACTTGCTGAGAGCCTGGATGTAGTTTCCTCTGTATTTTTCCAGCCACACATTAGTTATAGCCTGAAGAGTTTGTGCAGCAAGGTTGTGTCCTACTTTATTTCTAATTTGTGAGACCTGTCTGTCTGTGAAAGACTTGCTGCTTAGGAGTAAGTATGTTTTCTGTTCAGTTTTCTGTAGTGTTTAAAGAGAGAGCAATTTGAGGCAGCACATGGCTGATTTTCTGTTTTAATATACAAAATAAGTATTTTACAATGTCTTTTTAAATGGTGAGAAAAATCATTCCCAGGCCTCACTCCTGTAGAAGATATTTTTGAATCATCAAATTCTAAATTCTGCAAAGAGGAAAAACATCTCTCTTCCGCTAGCCTTAGCAGCCATTTTGTCAGCTTCCCCTTAAGTAGTGACCAGATGCACTTGGATGTTTTCCTTTGATCCTACTGTATATTTTCTGTTGAACCTTCATGGCTAACAGAGGCTTAATAGATCTATAAAGTATGAGCAATGCTGTAGAGACAGGTATGGCAGTAACAGGCAAAAGATCGCAGTTGGGTCCCAGCCAGACTTGAAACAGGGTGCAGCTTCACAGTAACCAACTTTCCATGTTGATGAAGGAGTGATAACCAGTTCCTTGTTTTCCTTGCAGTGGATGGAAAGAAGGAAGTTTTTGTGCTTCTGAGAATTGTATTCGATGCTCCCAAGCCAGCTTGGAAATTCCTAGAAGAAACTAAAGGAAGAACATCTTGTTCCATTCTCCAGATTAAAATGCCCTTTGAGAATCAGGAAAACATACAGCTTAGCCTCCTGCTGTGCATGTAGATCTGGAAGGAGTGGAGACTTCAAGCCACTGGTACGAAGTTCACAAACTCAGTGAAGTTTCTCAATAACAGTAAATCCTAAATGTATTCTCAAGTGATCTTGCTGATCTGTTGTTTTTTAATAGGAAAGATGCATTTTTCCTTGTGACCAAAGCTGGATGTCCCTTATGGGTGAGGTAACCTCTTCTGAGGATTGGTGATTCTCCGGAGACCTTTCAATCGACTGAGCAATTCCGTAATGAAGTCCTACAGTAAGAATTGTAGGAAGAAGGATGTTAATTCCGTTTCTCACTGGCCCAAAGAGTACTATGCCTTTTATGTAATTCACATGTTTCTCTTCATGCTGAGCAGAAATCAGGATTTTGACATACATTAAGCAAATGTATCTTCTAGCTTAGGAAATGAGACTTTTTGACGGCTGAACGGGGTTTAAAAGCCCTTCTTTCCTTCCCTGGCTGCCTCTGGGGCAGCCATGTTTGCTTTTTTTCTGCAGCAGCTAGCCTGCCTTCTTTCCAATTCCTGCTCGTTCCACCTTGAGATGACCTCAAGATGCTGTTGTCTCAGGTTCTCCTGCTTCCTGTTGCCACCATAACCTCCTCCCCACTTCTGCTGCCCTCCCAATGTAGGGCAAAGCATGCTGTCCCTCTCATTGCTTCCTTGCTGAACCTGTAAAGCTTCATGTAGGGGATTGCAAATCTCACTGGATCAATGCCAGTTCTACACAGAAGTGGCTGGCAGAGAAGGGGGTGGAGCAGGACACACATAAGACTAATGATAACCTGGAGTAGGGGCTGAGGACTGGCAGGCCACGTAGTTGAGCAGTTAATGGAGATAAACCCCATTGCTGACACAGCCAAGCACTGTGGACCAAACTGGGTCATCTGGTTATTCCAAACAGAAATCTAAGCAACTATTTTGACTTCTTGATGTTCAGGTTATGCCTTCCACTCCAATAATTAAAAGAGTGTAAACAATATTAAATTATTTAACATTATACTAAAAATAAACACTCTTGGTTCACAGAAACCAGGAATTTCTCACACTGCAAATTCTTTTTTATTGTCTAGCACTTGATTTGTTTATTTGTAATTATTAGTGCTATAATGGATCAATTGTTGGACTAGATGATCTTAGAGATCTCTTCCAACCTTAATGATTCTGTGACTCTCTGTGATTAGTGCAAACTTTGCCCCCTCCAGAGCAAGTAACAGCACTGTAAAGACAGCAATGTAAAGGCATCTATCTCACTTGCTGTTTGTTTGTCTTTGTACAGCTAAATTGAAAGACTGGATAAGGCATTTAGATTGATGAAAAACATCCAAGCATAATGTTCACATGCACTGCATGTGACTGAATCAGGGATGGGGGACTCTTGTGCACACTGCAGAGTACGGGGAAGGCAATTGCTGTCTGGTGTGTGTGCCATGCAGCAGAATACTGGGCTCTGTTCCTTTGAATACCGTGACAGTTAGTTTCCTTAACTCCCTAACTCAAAATCAAGACATGTAAAGTTCACGGGGGGAAAAAAGTGTGTGTAAAACTGACATAAGGGGTCACTGCTCAACAACAATCTGCATAAACAAACATGCTCTAGGAGCACAGCATAATATATGTGTGTCAGTAGTGCTTGACTCACCTCTGTTGGGCTGGAGCACTCATGGAGGATTTCCTGAAAGCCAAATAGACATCATTTTAATATTTCATAAGTTGGCCCTTCCCTCCAGCTGCAAAAAGGATATATAATTTTACTATTCTTGACTGGCTACAAGACAGGGAAGCAGCATACATTATAGTATGTACATTTTCTGCAACCCAAACACCATTGCTGTACTGTATTACACCAGTAGTTCCTATCTTGAAGTTACCAAGTTCCTCTGTCTGACCTGTAGTTTTAATTTCTGTTCTTCATTAGGGACTTCCAGGAGATCTTCAAGGTCAATTACTGGTCCAGGAACTTCTGCATCCGTTTTTTCTCTTAGCTAAAAAGAAGAAAATAAAAACCAACATAGTTCATAACCCTCAAACGTTCAAGAACTCGAGACCATCTTTGAAGAACTGAGCATCTGAAAAGGAACTAATTACAAGAGAACCATGCTGCAAAGCTGACGTCAAGACACAAATCATCTCAAAATAAGGAGACTCTTATCAAGAGGCGTCTTACCTCTGTGGTGTCTGCTACAGCCACACATCTTGATTCATCATCCGCTCCCAGCTCAACACTTGATCCCTGCTCAGGGATCACGGTCTGTGATGGGAACACCTTTTCAAGAATATCCAGTGTCAATTGCTAACTGCAATGCAGTGTAATTCAGCTTGGGACAACCTAATTCTGTAAAGAGTGTGTGCAAACTAGTCCATCAGGTTTAATCTTAAAGAAGTACTTCAAATACAAGGAAATTTTAAGCTTTATGGCTATGTATGTTCACATTGTTCGTATTTATACTATGGATTTTTGCAGTAATGAAGAAGCAAACAGCTATGCTTTTGAAAGGTATAACTTACTATTTGTCAGCTTTCTCTAATAGGAATGGGGGGATAGAATATAGTTTTAATGTAAGAGAGCCCCAAACGCTTTGGAGGTAGGAGTTACAGTCTCAGTACAAGTGAATGTTATTTGGGAACACTTGTAAACTTGGCCATAGGCACATTTTAGCTCCACATACCCCTACAAGACTGTAAGGCAGGCTGCATTTTCCAATGTAGTTGCAAAATGAACCTTTAACAACACGACACTAGTGATATTGTATCACAGTACACAGTAGAGTAAGCGCGGCGCCTAATAGAGATGCATATAAAACATTAAAGTAAAGACAGTATTTATGGGGAAAAAAAAAGAAACTGTTTCCCATCACTCTCTGACACCATGCCAGAGAGGAAGCAGAAAAACAGTAGGAGTTCAGCTTTGTTACACACCTGACTTGATAACTAAGAATAAAACAGTTACACACACTGTACTGTGACCTATACAGCATTTCTTCATAAAAGTAATAGTTGTCACATGACTATTTAGATAACAGGTGTTGATCTGGTCTAAGCAGAGACTGTGGTTCTGCTTCCAAGTGCAGGGAAACGTCTTGAAAACCCAAATTGTCTCCCAAATCTTAGCTTTGTTGTGAAAAGCTTCATGGCAGTAAACAGCATTGCAATCAGATTATTTGTATCAGATGATGATGTTGGATTTAACCTTGCTGGCAGTTGACCCTGCAGTGCCATTTACTCCAGCTGTCATGTGGGTTTCTGGAAGACATGGAGAAACACTGCACTGCCAAGGGCAGGTGGAGCAAAGGGGGAAGTGATGGGGAGCTGATGTAATGGAAGTCAATGGATACATAGAAGTGCAAACTAGCAGGGCTAACTAAATCGTCTTGCTGCAGTGCATGGAGCAGGACAGGAGGACCTGCTGGACTTCTGGGTGCTTACAAGTCATTTATTGTTTATTTGAAAAGGTACTATGTAAACTTCTATTGTATACTATTAACAATCTCTGATTTGGATCAGCATTGCATGATGTAGTTCCTGTCAGGAATGTCTTAGTTTGACCTCATACACCAAGAAGTTGCTAAAACCATTGTGTTGGAGTGGTGCTAGCAAAGGCAATCTATTTGCAATCAGTTCCCATGTGGGCATGGCTGCATTTCCCATTTGCGCCTACTGGAAAAAAATTATCTCTCCTCTGTGGAGCTATTCTGGTAACAACGAACAACTCCCAGTTAGTCAACTCACAGAAAAACAGAAGTAATAAAGTAGCCTGAGTTGTTCCTCTGACATCTCTACAGATGTGTATCTGTAGACTTAGACAAGTGAGAGTAGTACACAGAATCACATCTTGCGTTATTTTACTGGTGATACCAAGAAATGCCTCACATCTATCTCAAAAAAACCCTCTCTGAACTAATATTTTAAAACTACAGTCATTACCCAAAGGTCCTGTTGCTCAAAGCAGCAGTCACTCTCCTTGCTCATCTCTTCAGAATTACTGTGTCCCTTTTGTTTAGTCCTTCAAGCTGTGAGCATCAATAGGACTCCAAATTCTCTCTTTTTGTTGGTTTCATAAATGCAGACAAAATAAATGTATACATATTTTAAGATGGAAATGAGATTGTCTTCTATCTCCTCCCTCAGACATTGCCTGTCAGGAACATTTGTTTCTTCTCAGAGCACAGTGGTATTTTGAGGTGGCTAGAACCACTTCCCGTTGGGGAACTTGGATAGATGAAATTTGCAGGTTCTCTCATAGCATCCTTGAGGTGCTTGCATTTAACATTACAATGGTGTTAAATGGAGAGATTCCAGTAAAACCAAATAAAATAAACGCAGAGTTAGCACCATATTGAGTGACAGGATGAAATAGAGGAAATGGCTCTAGTCCTTTTAAAGCTACATAAACCTTAATGGTAAAAGCAGACATTTCTGACACAAGAAGGCTGGAGGGAGCATGTTTCTAGATAGGTCCAGCCTGAGATGGCTACATACCTAAATTTCCAAGGAATGCCAAGGTCTAACGTCCCTCCAAAGGGGCTCAGCATATACACTGGTCTGTCAAAATGTATATTCATCTCAGGCCAGTTCCCACACTGAGAAGTGCTTCCAGAAACATCACTTATCCTACACCATTCAAGCATTGGACCTAGTTGCTCCCAAGTCTCCCGGTTTGATAACTCTTAAGGTGCATAAGAATGATGTAGGACTGACCGTTGCTGGTGGTAACAAAAATGCAGGCCAGGAAGGCTGCTCTGGGGAGTTGTGTAATTTGAGCATGTGTTTTGTTTTTCTTCCCCTGCTGCCAGTAGCATGTCCAGCATCTGCAGTTGCAGATACAGCTTTATCCTCAGTGCCTCAGGATAAAGTCACAAAGTTGTGGCCAAAGGGATGAAGGATGCACTGAGTACCTCAAACCCAGCTAGCTCAGGTACTGCTAGCATCAAAACTGATGGCAAAGATCTGTTTCCAGTAAGCTAAGCAAGCACACCCCTACCCCTGCATACAGCCTCTCATCCCATTCCCTCAATGTGCGAGGAGCTGGTTTGCCCCAGCTACTCACCGGGTACTGATACAGCTCCTGCAGCCGGGCATTGATCCACTCCTCCAGGTCTAGCCAACGCTGTAGGTCTTTGCGGTTGTACTTTATGGTTAGCTTGCCCAGTTTCCTGTGTGACGATTCTTCCCCGGGTTTCTCTGGAGTCTGGAAAGTCACCCGGGGCAACGCACTGGAGTTGCTCGCCATCCTTACCACTTCCTCCTCCACTTCCTCCTCCTTGTCTCTGGCTGCTCTCCCCCGTCTTGTAACCAGTGTCTCCCCACAGCTCCTGGCTCACAGCACAAGCCACTTGTGGATGCTGAAGGCAGGCAGCATTGGCGATGCCAGGGAGCAGTGGCAGGTGCTGTAGGCAGGGTTACCAGAGCAGGCTCTTGGGTTTCACAGTGGATGCTGCTGACGAGCGGGAAGAGAAGGGAGATGGCTTGGTGTAATAACACCTGCTGTTAAAATAAGCCAAGTGAAGCAGGGAACCAATGAACAAAGGTTGTTAATATTTAACGTACGTCAGCTCCAAGAAGCAGCAGGAGGTGGGGAAGAGAAGGTTTTGAATTACTTTTCCTACAGATGCGACTGACGTGTGTGTGCAAATCCAATGAGCTGATCCACTCCTCTACAAGGACGGGAATGCTAGGTCAGTGGTGTTACCAGCCAAACTCAGAATCAGCACTCCCAGTTTAACCTCTTCTGCAGTCTGTACATTTCTTCTAGCTTTCTGTAAAACTTCTGTCTAGAAAACCTGATGACCTGAATTTGAGGTCATCTGAGCAAGGCACTTCTGCAATAAAACAAATTATCTGTGTTCTTATTAAAAAAAATCTATATGTAGTGTGACAAAGTACTGCAGGTTAATGGATAAAGAATTATCTCCTTCTCGTAAAAAGGTAGTTATAGATGGTAAATAGGTCCATCTGCTGAAGCATTGTAAACTGCTAGAGTGTTTATTACCATTGTTTGGTTTACAATCTCTTTCTTACTAGAAGAGGGGTTAAAGGTCTGCAACATTATTGCCCTGTCTTATGTTAGGGGACATGGGCAATGCAGTACAGAGGGGCAGAAATCTGACTGGACCTGTTTATGCGGTGCCAGTTTCCCCTAGATGCTGTGTCACACCCCTGTATCCACCCGTCCCCAAGGCCCTCCTGTGACCTGCTGCAGGCACTGCCCCATCAAACGGCTGAACCTGAACTGAAACCTTCTGTAGCACATCAGCAGTTCCAGTCCAATGGGCTGTGTGGGAAAAGAAGATATGCCGGTGCTAGCATCCTCTGGAAGTCATACCAGGTCCCTCTGTCACAACCAGGTAATTGTGCCCAAAGGGACAGAGGTAACTGGCCAACAGCGAGTCCTACATGGGCCAATAGGAAAATGGAGCACTCCAGCCTTTCTTTTTCCCTAAGTTTGAACAAAACCCAAAGATTTTCTTACAGAAAATTTCACAAAATTCTGATTCTAAAGCATGAATCAGCATCATTACAGGAAGGATAAAGTACACCTAAAAATAGTATCCTTGTTCCCTGCTTTTCAAATAGCCTGAAGCTTGTATTCAGGAGACAGCTGTCAGGTAATTAATTTACTAAGCTTTCCTCATTTTTCCTCACTACTTGACTGTATTCCCTCTCTAGTTTCACTCTGGAAGCTGTCTTATTTACACCAAAATCACCCAGAAAAATCCATAACATGAGAAGCTGGGATCATACTCCCTAAGGAGAGATTCTTAACAGTTAAAAACATTTCAAAACCCCTCAAACATCTTCTGACATGTTTACAACTATTGACTTTTCAGAGGTTAATAGGCTGGCTGACCACACAGTAAATCCAAACCAAAGGACATCCTCTGCCAGGCATCTGTTGTCTACATACAGAAATGCTCTATCCTGGTGTTCAAAGACTGATGTTTTCCCCTTATTCCTACTGCCCCAAATGCTGACAGATTTTTCTGACAAAATGGCACCAAGACCAAGGAAAGCAGTCAACCCAAAATTTACAGCAGTTGAAGGTTCCAGCAGAAAGTTGTCCCCCTCCTCCCAGTGCTGTGCAACAACCTACTAGTCTCCCCCAGCTCTAAATGGGCTGAGCCAAATTTATGAAGCATGAGACGGATGTGGAGAAGAGGGGAACACCTGGCCCTAATGCCTGCTCTGCAATCAGCTGGGGCCGCTGTTACTTGTAACCTCACTCAAGTGCAAACTAAGGCTGAGATAAGGCACGTGAGAAGGCCACAGGCAATCTCACCGTGTAGCTTGCACTTTATCAACAAAGCAATAAGCATGGTGCCCTGGTGCCACCTGGGTCAGACACAGGGGAATGCCAGAGGCCTTTCAGAATAGCTGCAAGCCAAAGCAAGCAGCCTTGCAGGATGTTTGTTTTGCCACTCTGGATTACATGTGTTTAGTCGCGAGTTCTTTGTTACGAGAAGCTGGAGATACAGAAATAAATGTTTACAGATAAAGTAGGGCTCCTCCAGCAATAAGCTAATTGAATCAATCATTAAAGAAGAGGAAGAAGCTCAAAGATCTTGTAGGTCTTTTCCAACCTTGGTGTTTCTGTGTGATTCTGTGTGACTATGTGTGAAAACACCCCATGAAGGCATGGTGCCAGTTCCAGTGCACAGCACCAGGTGTCCCATACAGAGCAGGCCAGAGCAGGTCCTCAGCAGGAAGGCTGCATCTTCATGGTTGCACAGCTACTTCCTGCATGCCTGCACTAAGAGGGAAGTTTTGCCTTCAAAAGGAGCAGAAGGGGATTCAATTCTACAGAGGAAGGCTTCTGTGAAGGCCCAGGGCCTGGGTCAGGGAGAGCTGAGTGCTTGTACTGCTGTGCCAAACAGCCGTGACACCAGGGCATGAGAGCTCTGGTTACATTCCTCTCAGAGTTGATGACCTCCATCCACAGCTGTGACTGAAGATGGTGCTTCTCCTTCTCTGCAAGCTGATGGCTGTTACACATCTTCAATAATTCAGCAGGGCCCTGGCTCCTCTTTCTGGAGAAGCAGATTGGCTTCTTTCCCTCGAGTCCCAGCCCAGAGAGGACATTTTTCCTTCCAGTCATCCAGGAGCCACTCTTCACCTGCTTTAGAAAATAATCACTTTCTCTGTGGTTACAAACATGGTAGTTAACACAAATTAAGCCAGGAAAGGCAGCAGAGGTGACTGTACCAACGTGAGGTTGACACCACAAGGTAAGGACATGCTGCACCCTCTTGCAGGCATGGGCAGGCACAGGAATGACCCCCACCCCTCAACGCTTAGGTAAAGCTGACAGTTTGATTCCAAATGGATTATACTGGGATCTCTGAAAAATCCGTCCGTGTTGTTTTGTTGCTCTACCTCTCACATTGCTTTGCTGTTCCCCTACAGAAGGAGACCCACAGCGCTGAAAGCGTGATTGGTGTTTTCATGCAAGCTCTTGAATAGTAGAGTTGGAGGCAAGAGAAGCAGTGGCTGAAAGATGAAGGGAATTCTCCTTGCTTCCCAACCTGCTTACAGCATTTCAGGCTGTCCGTACAGTTCTCGCACCAAGAAGTGTGTCGTGACAAAATCCCCTCGAAGGGGTGCTAAGGACCTGCTGGGAAATCTCCATCCCCAGACATGTGAGGGGCAGCGATCTCCTAAAGCACTGGCAGATACCTGTCTGCGGCTATCCAGGGGCTGTGGCTGCTGAAAGAGGGTAAGGAAGAGGAGAAGCCCTAGAGAACCGCACAGCCCATCAAGAACAGCTGAGGATGCTTCTGGGGACTTAAATGGGAGATGTTAAACTTCTACTTCCTGTCAACGGGAGGCTCCTTGCTTCACAAAAGGTGCCATTTCCATACCTATCTCCCTGTAAAAGCCTAGCACAGACATGGCAAGAATGCAGATGCTTTCTGGTGTAGCTAGTTTCAGCACAATTTCACCTTCCTTTCCGAGCGCTCCTGCCCTTAACACCTTACCGTGACTAGCAACAGTAAATAAGAGCAAATAAGAGCCAGAGTGCCACACAGGACGCTAGACAGAAACTTCCCCCAAAAAAACAACACACTCTCTTTGTGGTGCCCTCCCCACAGCTGCCCTTGAAGCGGTGGGAAAGGCTCTGCTGAGTACTCAGCAGCCTGTCACCCTTTCCCTGGCTGCATTCTGCAGGACAGGTTGTTAGTCACGGCCTGTGAGATCCCTCCCTGTCTCCTTCCCTTGCCACATCTTTGTGCCGTCACTTGTATCCGGGTCTCGCCCGTAAACCACACCAGGAGGTTTAACCTGAGGCAAATATGACAAAACAAGCAAGCAAGCAAACCTGTCTCCCCAGCACTAGGTACACACGGAGCGGTTCCCAGATAAAGCCAAGCAGAGCGGAGCCATTTGCAGCAGCCTGCGTGCTGTCGGGAAGCCACTGCAAGCCGCGGTGCCACTTGGCTGGGCAAAGTCCAGCAAGTCCTCCTTGTTTGTCTGCCTGCTTGGATCTATACCTCATAGCAGCCAGGCGCCCAGAGGTGCTGGGGTCCCCTCAGTGGTGACATCAAGGCTGGTGACGCAGGCTCCTGTGTGGTTTGCTGCAAGCTGTGCATGTCAAAGAGCTGCAATGATCCTGGTCAAATATTAAGCCACTGTGTAGTTTAACCCCCCAGCTGAATAGTTATTATTGCAGGACTAAGAGCAGGCGCTTCTCGGCCCATGAAAGACAAACAGTAACCATGACTCACTGTTTCAGGACCCCTTTTAAAACACTCCCAAGCCATAAAATCACACAGCCTGCTTTCTCTTCACATGCTAACATGAGTAACACACGGCTCAGCTGGAGTCATGGGGAATAATTCATTTGGCAGAAGATGAGGTCTGAGATGGGAGCTCTGGGCTGGGAGCAGGTCCTGAGTTGGAAAGAGTGATGCTGCAATGCAGAGAGGTTTCCAGCAGAAGTCCTTGGTTCTGGGGCTGCCTTCACTTAAAACAGTCATTACTGAAACTCTCCAGAAAAAAAAAAAAAAAAAAGAAAAGAGAAGAAGAAGAAGAAAAAAATAACAACAAAAAAAACCCCATAACAGGTATATTCAGTAATGCTGCTGGCACTGAAGTGGAATGCATCACTCCTACAGTGAAGGACCAAGCCTGTGATGCTTAAAAGTCTAATGAACAAGCCATATTCATCTGCCAAACAGAAGTGGTTCACGTTTTAATAATATAAAGAATATTAAAAATAAAGTCACATTTTTAGGAAATTGTCACAAGAATTTTAGCTGGAGGCTGGTCAGCTGAAAATAGCAGAGAGAACAGTTATAAAAGATGTACTGTTCATAAGGTGTCTCTTCCTGTGTGTTCCTGCTCCAGCAGGGGGATTGGACTAGATGGTCTCTTGAGGTCCTTTCCAATCCCTGGCATTCTATGACTCTGTGATTCAGTCAGCAATACCCATATGATCCTAAGATGTATTTAGCAACAAGGCCCTGCATCTGGAAAATGTACAGAAAAAAAAAAAATAGCGACTAAGATAACCAAGGTGAAATGCCATAAAAGAAATGATTAAAAGCTTGTGGCATGTTTGCAATAGCATAATGAAGGCTGAGTTAGCATATGATTTTACTGAAGAAAATAGGAAATAAGCTTTTGAAATTAAAGGACAGCAAAAAAAAAAAAAAAAAGTAAAGTAACACTGAAAACCTTTAGGGTGAGCACTGAAAAGCCTGCAATGGGAGACTGGTACAGCCTTCTAATGGGAGCAAAGGAGATTAAACCCCACTCCCCTTCAGGCTAGATCAGTTTAGGCTGAATCACTTTATGAACGGGCTTACTCATTCCATACACACTGAAAAAAAAGGGAGGGGGGCTGAGTGCCTCAGGCGGTGCAGAACAAAAGGAGACAATCCTGGCATTGTTTCATTTCCCCAGCATCACAGGGGCTGCAGGCAGAAGCAGGCAGCAGGAATTGAAAACTCTGGATGCGAGCAAGTTCCCCAAAATTCAAAGCCAGATGCTGCTCAAGGCACAGCCACGGCTCACCATCTCTGTTCCAATGTTTGCCATCAATATCATCTTGCATTTGCTGCTGCCTTTGAAGTGATGCAATATTTCATTAAAAATAATGTCCAGGCAAATCACAAGCACTCCCTGCACTCCTAAGCTCTGTGACAGAGAGATAAGAAGAGTTTACCCAGGGGCTTTGGGACTGTTTGCAGAGGAAGGGGGGTGTCACCAATATAGCTGAGGAACAACGGAATTTGATCTCCACTCTACAGAAGCAGGAAGGTAGGGAA